TTTAATCCTGGTCAAATCAGTTTAAAGATGGAGGGGGGTTAAAAAAAAAAACCTCTCCTTTTAAAAACAAATCTTTCATCAGAATAACTTTTCAAAGAATCGTGAGCAATGAAACAGTATGTGGGTTGTCTTACTTTCAACGTAACTATGCATTCTGATTAAATTAGAAAGCTGTATTAAATTGGGGAAATGTCCTAAATCTACAATGGAATACATGTGTTCTCATTTCCCAGATATCAGAAGAAAATAATACCAGCAGATTTAATGTCGAGGATTATGTGTTTCCAGGATATCGTCTGAATGACTCTGGCGAATAGCCAGCAGAGATCCTGCTAGACCTGAGGTTGTTTAAGATATCTTTCAATCTCTGAAGGTTATTGACCAGTTTGTGATTGTGTTACCTAATGCCAATCCTGCAGTAGCTTGTATTGCGATTGAGGGTTTGAGGCTCCAGCAGAAATCTCCTGCTAAAGTTAAAATATTCACTTGCATGTTGTGACTGTGCTTCCATGGTGGTAAATGTGGTTGCTTTATTTTTGACTTGTGCAGACTCAAAATATGAGTTCCTTAACTCCACTGGGCCTCTGTTGTTAGCCTTGACATGGATGTGCTAAATACTCCAGTTGTACCGATCAGTGCTGGGTAAACAGTCTGGCTGTGTCCACTGTGCGATTTGTGTAATTTGGCAAACCCTGTGTGCAGGTAGCAATCCCTTCCTTTAAGGAACAATTAGTATTTCCCTGTGAAGCAGCTTCTTGACTGAAATTTGTTTTGCTGACTGTGTACCTTTTGGATAGCTGGTGTCTGATTCAAGCATCAATGAGTTCAAGACAAATTCCTCAAAGTAGCTACATATTTGAAGGGGCTTCTAGCAGAGAAACTTATATCATTTATGACCATGGGTTAGGTGCTAGAGGATTGGAGGGTGGCTAATATAATGCCTTTATTTAAGAAAGGCTGTCAGGAGAAGCCTGGGAACTGTAGACCTGAGAGTCTGACAGTGGTGGTGGGTAAGTTTTGAAAGATAGGATTTCGATTAATTTGGAGAGGCAAGGACTGATTAGGGATAGTCAGCACTGTTTTGCGAGGGAAATCATGTCTCCAAGCCTGATTGAGTTTTTTGAGGAAGTAATCCAAAAGATTGATGAGGGCAGACCAGTAGATGTTGTTTACATGCACTTTAGTAATGCCTTTTATCAAAGGTTCTGCATGGTAGACTCATTAGTAAAGTTAGACTGTGTGATCCAGGGAAAGCTCACCAATTGGATACAAAATTGGCTTGACGGTAGGATACAGAGGATAGTGGTGGAATTTATTTTTCAGACTGGAGGCCCGTGACCAGTGTTGTTCCACTGGGATTGGTGCTGGGTCCACTTTTGTTTGTCATTTGTGTAAACGATTTGGATGAGAATTTAGAAGACCTGGTTACTAAGTTTGCAAATGACACCAAGGTTGATATTGTAGTGGACAGTGAAGAAGGTTATCTAAAATTACAAAGGGATTTTGATCAATTGGGTCAATGGGCTGTGGCATGGCAAAAGGAGTTTAATTTGGATAAATGCGAGGTATTGCATTTTGGTAAAACAAACAAGGCAGGACTTATACAGTTAATTGTATGGCCTTTGTTATTGTTGTAGAACAGAGCAACCTGAGGGTTCATGAACATATTTCTTTGAAATTTGCATCACATGTAGACAAGGAGGTTTCGAACGCTTGCCTTCGTTGCTCAGACCTTTGAGTATAGGAGTTGGGATGTCATGTTGAAGTTGTACAGGATGTTGGTTAGGCCTCTTCTGGCATACTATGTACAGTTCTGGTCACCCTCTAATAGGAAGGATATTATTAAACTGGAGAGGATTCAGAAAAGATTTACCAGGATGTTGCTGGGAATGGAAGGTTTGAGTTGTAAAGATAAGGCTGGGACATTTTTCACTGGAGTGTAGGTGTTGAGGGGAGATACAATCATGAGGGGCATGGATTAGGTGAATAACGATGGTCTTTTTCCATAGGGTGGGGAAGTTCAAAACTAGGGGGCATATTTTTAAGGTGAGAGGAGAAAGATTTAAAAAGGACATGAGGGGCAATTTTTTTTTAACACGGTGGTTTGTATGCGGAGTGAACTGCCAAAGGAAACGGTGAATGCAGGTATAGATGCAACATTTAAAAGACATTTGGATAAGTATATAAATAGGAAAGGCTTGGAGGGACTTGGGCGAAACGCAGGCAGGTGGAACTAGTTTGGTTTGTGAACATGGTCAGCATGGACTGGTTGGACCGAAGGGTCCGTTTCCATGCAGTATGACACTCATCTACCATTCAGTTAGCTAATGGCTGATTTGCTTCTTGACACATCTATCCTTATGTAATGAAGGAACTGCAAGCTTAATTATTTTTTAATTCTCACCTGACCCCTAGCATTGATAGCTCATTGTGGCTGGAAAGTTTTGGATTTCAGCTACATATTTTATGGTGAAGTGCTTCCTGGCATCACAAGCCCTGACTGGCTGAGTTTTGAATTAGTTTCTAATCAACCTGTTCAGAGATGTTATTACACACCTCTGGAGCAGGTTGGACTTGAGTTTAGGCTTCCTGGCTCAAAGGTAGGGACACTGCCACTGCATCACAGCCCCACCACTGCACCCTGCCTCAGGCTGCATGTAATTTCCAGGTGAGTTTTCCCTTGTTATAGACAGTACCATTTGAGAAACTAGATTGTAATCTTAATATTTTTTATTGAACCTATTTTTCTAATCAACCTGTTCAGAGATGATATTACACACCTTTTGGCGCAGGTGGGACTTGAAACCGAGCCTCCTGGTCCAGGGGTAGGGACAATACCACTGTGCCACAAGGGGGCCCTAGGAAATAGAATCTATCTCTCACTTCTTGAGTCTTTTAATCAGCGTAAACACCTCAATTAGATCCTTTACGCTCAGCGGAACACAAACTTCGTCTCTGCAAACTGTCCTCTTCTCAGCTTTATTGTGTCAGTGAAATGGAGAATGATGCGAGGTGCAGCACAGAGAGAAGCTGGATGCTGGAAATTTGAGTGTCTTTCAGGCCTTTCTATTTTGCAGTTTTGCATGAGACTGCGAAAGCAGAGTGTCCTTCATCAGGCGCTTGCTGTTGTGGGACGGTCATGTCTCGACATGAGTGACCTGAAGCATTGAGGCTGGTCACAACACTGAAACTCCCAGAGCTCTGGCAATTTATTGTGCGTCAATCCAGTTAATTTTGTCACAGCGTTCTCAGGCTATTTAGTTCATTTCCTGGTATCCTGTTTCATGATGATCTCATGATCACCTAACCTTTAAAATGAAAATGAATTCAATTACCTCTGTGCCCATATAACATGTATCATTTGGTCAACAGACTGCAAAATCCGTGACACCGTGAACGTGGAATATGTTTTGGAGAAATATAAGGCTTAATTTAGTCACAGTAAGGACATTTTCATATCACTGGGCTAGAAATGAAATATCAAACAGAATTGCTGATACTAACACTTTCTCTAACCTCAATTTTTGATTGTGTTTCGAGTGCTATAAATAATCCTACTCTTCATATTGGTAAAAAAAGTTATAGAGATAAGAGGATGGCTTTTGTGGTGCAGTGGTAGTGTCTCTGCCCCGGAGTCAAGAGGCTCAGGTTCAACTCCCGCCTGCTCCAGAGGTGGATCGTCACATCTCCAAACTGGTTAGTCAGGATATTTATCACAATAGTGAACAGGATAGGATAAAGATTTGCTAGATTGAAACCAAAACACAGGTTATGGATGTCAGCAAAGAGTGAACTAGTGGGGCTCTTTACTTCAACAAAGAGAAAACTGAAGGTTGACCTGGCAAAGGCCTTTAAGTTTATAAGTTCAGAACAAAACTCCTCGTTATCTCGAGACTAGTTAATGCAGAACTTGTCTCAATTACTTTTTGCAATAACAAATATGGCAGCATAAAATTTATTTCAGCAGAAGTTTGACTAACTAAGAACAGAGAAAGAAATAGAAGAAAATGGTGCTTGCCTGGATAAAGGGTCAATGTGGAGCATAGATGTTAGCACAGTCCTGTTGGGGCAATTGGCCTGTTCCTACATGGTCACGTCTAGATATTTTCCAATTAGCCTGTACAGAGATGTTATTACACACCACTCCTGCAAGTGGGACTTGAACCTGGACTCCTAGCTCAGAGATAGGGACACTATCAATGTGCCTCATAAGCCCCCGTGATCAGTTCTATGCAATCACTAACTAGTGATGCCAGCTTCTGATCACTAGCTATTGATTCTGTGACAACTGCAGTAGGTTTAGCTGTATTTGCTGTCGTGGACACCCAGTTTTCGTGTAGTCTGTCTACTTCTAGTTAGGAAGAATAGTGATTTTAGTGGCCTCCGGATTGTATTCGGTCATTGTACTCCGGGTCTGAGGGGGTTACAGGGAATATTTATTTTACAAAATAGAGGGGCTGGAATAGCCTGCTGTATCATTTTTCAAAATCCCTATTTGTATCATATGAAAATCGATGGAAGGATGATCCTCCAGATAAGTTTATGTCAGCTCTCGCCATTTTCCAAAGAGTTTTACCTTCATGTTTGCCAAGAGGTTAAAGCTCCTTTCAGTAACGCTGGCTTCTATTTCTCACAATATAATGGTGACTAGACTTTGAAGATTCTTTGGGTCTAAAGCTGTTTTGTACATTCTGTAAAGGATACTGTACAAATTCAAGTCTCTTCCAACACTGCTGAATGATGTAAATCAGATCACCAGATGGAACTTTCTGCAGCAAGTTTAATAGGTAACTAATAAGTAAATTGAACAATTTCTTCAAAACAATGGGAAGGAAAAGACATGATGCTGTTTGTTGAGAGAAGGGACTAGTGGGTTTTGGAAATTGATTGGTGAGCCTGTCACTTCTTAAACTTCTTTTTACCAGTTGTGAACATTAGCAATGGTAATTAATTGCTATTTAACCAACGCCTGTTTATTTTTTTTCTGTATTGTTGAACAGGTACTGACATGGCTGTCTTCTGCTTGCTCTGTGGGAAACGGTTCCAGACACAGATTGCTCTGCAGCAGCATATGGAGGTGCATGCTGGAGTTCGCACTTACATCTGCAGCGAATGTGACCGAACTTTTCCAAGCCACACAGCACTGAAGCGTCATCTCAGGTCACACACAGGTATGGAGTCCCAATCCACGGCACATTTGTTGCCTGTTCTCTTGCATGAAGCTCCAAATAGAGCTGGCTTAAGAGTCTTTGAAGAGCCGTTAACTGAAGTTGAAAAGCAGGACCTCTAGGCTTGCAATCTCTGGATTACTCTCTATGCCATGTGCTAGTGAGACCAGAAATAGGAAGATATGAGTTGACCATGTGGCTAAGGTGCTGGTGAAGGAGGGAGAGATTCAGATATCTAGATCTCTTCCAGGGCAGGTGGAACCTGTACAAGAAGGACAGTTTGCCCCTAAACTGGAGGGGCACCAATATCCTGGCAGAAAGGCTTACTACTCCCACTCGGGAGGGTTTAAACTAGTGTGGCAGGGGATTGGGAGCTGAAATAGTTGGTCAGCACAGAAGTATTCATTTGAAGAGAGGACAGAGGTTAAATCAACTGGTCGGGAGTACAGGCAGTTTCAGATTAATGAACATGGCAGGACTAGCGGTCTGAAGTGTATTTATTTTAATGCAAGAAGTATAACAGATAAGGCAGATGATCTTAGAGCCTGGATTAGTACATGGGACGACAATGTGGTAGCCATTACAGAAACTTGGTTGAGAGAAAGGCATGACTGACAACTCAACATTCCAGTGTTTCAGGCAAGATGGGGAGGGATGGCAAAGGGGTGGGGGAGTTGCATTACTGATTAAGGAAATGTCACAGCTTGTAGTAAGAGAGGACATCTTGGAGGGCTCATCCAGCAAGGCTGTATGGGTAGAGCACAAGAATAAGAAAGATGCAGTCACTATGATGGCTTTAAACTCTAGGCCTCCCAATAGCCAGTGGGAATTAGAGGAACAGATATGTAAGCAAGGTTGTGGTGGCAGGCAATTTTAATTTCCTCAACATTCACTGGGACTCCCCTTAGTGCCATGGGTTTAGCTGGGCCAGGTTTGTTAGGTACATCCAAGTGGGATTCTGGGAATATCATGTAGATAGTCCAACTAGAAAAAGGGCTGTATTAGATGTTGTATTGGAGAATAAGTGTGGCCAAATGATTTGAAGTTTCAATGGGGTGCATTTTGGGAATAGTGATCATAATTCTAAGTTTTCATAAAATTACAGAAAAGAATAAGATTGATCCTTGGCTAATTACAAGTGTTAGACAGGAACTGGAAAAATTAGATTGGGAACAGCTCTCTGAAGGCAAATCCACATCTGAGATGTGGGAGTCTTTTAAAAGCCAGTTGACCAGTGAGGATGAGAGATAGGATGGCAAGATTTGGGAACCTTGAATGATAGGAGAGGTGTTTCTTGTTTTTAAAAAAAAAAACTGCGGGTGCTGAACGTCAGAGACAAAAACAAAAATTGCTGTAAAAATTCAGCAGGTTTGGCAGCATCTGTAGGGAGAAAGCAGAGTTAATGTTTTGGGTCCGGTGAACCTTCATGTGTTCTGAACAGGCGTCACTATACTTGAAGTATTAACTTTTCTTTCTCTTCACAGATGCTGCGAGAGATGTTCTAAGTTTAGTTAAAAAGAAGGAAGCATTTTCTGTTTACGAAACAGAAACCAAATAAGGCCCTTGAGAAGTGTAGAGGAAGCACAAAAGAACTTAAAAGAAATTTAAGAGGGCTGAAGAGGCCATGTAATGTCCTTGGCAAGTAGAATTAAGGAGAATCCCAAGGCATTTTATACATACGCTAGGAGCAAAAGGGTAACTAGGGAAAGGGTAGGCCCACTTAGTGGCAAAGAGAGGGTGAGTGAAATTTGTGTGGAGCCAGAGGAAGTGGGTGAGGCCCTTTAATATATACTTCATATTGGTGTTCACCAAGGAGAAAGGCATGGATCATGGCAAGTTTAGAGAAGGGTTTGTGGATAAGTCTCTTTCCCAGGGAAGAAAGTCCAGGACTGGGGGGCAAAGGTTTAACGTGAAAGCGGGCACTTTTTAAAGATGTGTGAGACAAGTTTTTTTTACATAGAAGAATGTAGGTGCCTTGAACGTGCTGCCAGGGAAAGTGATAAAAGCAGATATGATAGCAATGTTTAAGAGGCATTTAGACAGACACCTGGACAAACAGAGAATGGAGGAATACTGTCCGTGTGAAGGCAGATGAGATTAATTTAGAATAATATCATGGTTGGCATAGATACGGTGGGCCAAAGAGCCTGCTCCCTGTGCTGTACTGTTCTATGTTCTAGTCCCACTCCAGGTTGATGATGACCACTACAACAGTGAGGGAGGGTTGCAATATTGGAGATTCCACCTTTTCAGGTGAGGTGTTAAACCAAGACACCCCCTCAGATGGATCCCTTGGTATTATTTCAAAGAGGAGGTGCCTTTTCCTCAGCAAACGCCTAAAAACAGATGATCTGATCAAATGGGTTGTTGTATTTTGTACATTAAAATAGCGACAATTCTTCAAAAGTTGCTCTTTTAGATGCATGCTATTCTCAGTACGTTATCCACTGATAAATGAAGGTAAAAGCTACCTGTACTCATGACAGAGCCTGTGTTTGTTTAATAAGAATCTCTGGTTCAAATCAGACCGGGGGCCTAATCAACATTAAACAACGTGATTTCTGTTTGGTGTTGTGAGATTGTTTTTGTATATGGAACAAGTAGCACACAATGGACAGTTGATGGGACACAAGACTTTCTATATTTTAGTACTGTACATGAGTAATTATAGGGCTAAAGGCATTCAGCTACTTAAACTGCTTGGAAACAGTGAAGCAAGCCCCCAGCTGAATGCTGAACCAAGTCCCATCTGAAATGCTGATTGCGATTAAAGTAGCAATTAACTCAATAGAAATTTAATGTTTCAGTTAAAATAGAAACAATTAATGCAATCTCAGCTAATTCACACTTAACCCCTGGACAGACCAATTTGTATGGAGCATGATAGAACTTCCAGTCACTGCACAGAGCTTCCCTGCTTTTCCCTTGACGAGATTGTGTTATTTTTGCTGTGTGGCTCAAGGGAGAGAACTTCCCCACCCCCACTTTCTTTTGTGTTCTCCCTCCCTGTTTCTTTCTGTCTATATCTCTCTGCCTTCCCACCCCCTCTCTGTCTGTCTTCCCAACACCTACACCATCTTCCTAGCATCCCCCTCGGTTGACTCACCTCTTCAGGGTGAGGTTCAGTGTGTCATTGTCTGGAATGTATGGATAGCTGATGAGCTTGTGCACTATGGTTCACCACGTATACAGCTGAAGGCTGTCATTCTATCCAATCTTTGTCATCAACCTCCACTGATGTGTTCGCCCTCAGTTTCCTGTGCACCCCACATGCCCCTTGCCTGCACACATTGAGAGCAAGTCTAATGCAGAAATTAAGCTGTTACAGCTAGATCAAAAAAAAAACGCAATGTTACATTGGTACACCAAACTCATGATCCACTACCTCAAAATCAAAATGAATTCTACTGCCTCCCACTCCAAAGGTGCTCTTTCCCAGTGCCTGTAACTCTCCTGTTGTTATAAGTTTGCAACAATTGCTTGATTTACTTCAACTTCTGTGCTGTTCTTTTCTTCCTTGATCGTGTCTTGCATAGCACACCAACGGTCTGATAGCTCAACCTACCCAGCCCCAAACTCCAACCTCCAAACTCTGTTGAGCAACTTGATGGTAATTCTTCCTCTTAAATGTCTTCCAACACACATCATGTCCTAACAGGATGGTGTGTTGAAGAGAAGAACAGGTGCATTTTCCCATTTCAAATCTTTTTTTACTCAAGACCTTTAAAACTGGCACCAAACCATTGGTGCCACCAGACCACTGCCATTTGAATTTAGCTCATTGTTTCTCCTACTCCTTTCATTCTTCATTATGTGCTGCATCTCTACCCGCTAGGCCCTTTTCAAAGATAATTTATTATTCTCTGTACGTCCATCAAAGGAGTTGACGCTTTGTGTTTTAATCTAATCTACAGTCACCGTATTTGCATGTGGATCCTTGACCTGCTACTTTACAGGAATCATTAACTTCAATGGGATAATTCCTCCATTTAAAATAGTTGGTTTGGTCCTTCCTTTTAATTTGACATTTCATTCCCCCTTTACTGGGTACATGTTATCACCTTGCAAGGAAATTGGTATACTACGCAGGGTGCATTTGAAAATGAATGAGTTGGATAATGACGATGGGTAAGAATTAATTTGTGGGCTATGTGGGTCATAAGCTCAGTATAATGAGTGTAAAATTTGGTCACATCCCTGTGATATAATTGCTTCGTCTGATTCTTCTTCATAGTCTTTCCCATAAGCAGCTGCAACTTGTATGTGTAGTCTTTTTAACATTATAAAATCTCTCAACTTTCTCAGAAGGAGTGTTGCCTAACAAGATTTGTCAATCAGGCCTTGTAAAATAAAGATTTGCATTCTTCTAGTGCTTTTCACAACCACAGTCATTTCAAGGCACTTTGCAGGGAATGGAGTACTTTTTGAAGTGTCGTCATGGTTGCAAGGTGGGAAGCACAGCCATTTTTACACAGTAAGACCCCACAAGCAGAAATGTAGTGACTGCATTTTTTTGTGTGTTATTGATTGAAGAGTTAACATTGGCCAGGACAGCAGATAAAACTCCCCTGCTCTTCTTTCAAATAGTGTCTCACGGTCTTGTACATCCATCTGCACGGGTGGGAAATACCTCAGATTTTTTTTTAAATCGAAAACTAGCACCCTCACCAGTGCTGTGATGGACTTCCTTGCCCAATGAAGTAGTTGACGCTACTTCAGTAAACGTTTTTAAAGAAAATTGATTTTTTTTGAACAATAAAGGAATTAAGGGATACGGTGAGAATGCGGGTAAGTGGATCTGAGTCCACAAAAAGATCAGCCATGATCTTATTGAATGGCGGAGCGGGCTCGAAGGGCCAGACGGCCTACTCCTGCTCCTAGTTCTTATGTTCTTATGTTCTCTCCTCCAAGATTTGCACTGAGTTCCTGGAGTGAAATTTGAAGCATCAACCTTCTGACTTTGAGACAGACATGGTACTGACTGCACCAAGGCTGACACCAGC